ACACACACACACACACACACACACACACACACACACACACACACACACAATAAATAATGGAGCAGAAATTATAATAACATTCAATGTAATATTCCAGAGCCCAAATAAATCTTCTCATTTTACAATAGATAATGATCAAACAATAACAGGCAAACCAACCAACACAGCTTTGCTAATACAAGTGTTGGGGTAGAATGAGGCTGGAGCTTAGGCAAGACATGTGGGTGTGTGGGAGAATGCTTCCCTCTAGAGCATCCTAAATTTTTATTCTAATTATTGGGGGGGGGGGTATCTGTTTGTACTGTTTTGTGAGCCAGCCATAGTTGTAGTTACAATATGAGTGGGTGTAAATGTCATTTAAAATAAATGCTTTCTATTTATTAATTGCCATTGCCAGAATCTTCTCCCTTCTTGTTAATATCTTTATTTGTCTTTACCTCCTGGATTTCCATAGTTGGTATTGTTCCTCCAAGAACTAAGTCACCTATGGATGATGAGACCTCACCGACATCAGGTGTGGTGAGGAGGAGTGCCAATGGGCGTGATTCTCGGGTAAGGGTGAATTCTGCCATCATTTCAGTATTCTTCTTTATTCATTTTTAATAATATTAATTACTCTGCGGGAAATAGTGCTGAACAATACAATAAATAAAAGCCAGCAATGCAATTATTCAACTAATCAGAAAACAATACAATCAAGTGATCAATGAAAAAAAATCAAATGAAATTTTAAAAATCAGCCCTCAAACTAAAAACTATAATCAATTTTTAAAAAACCTCTTAAATAATATATCAGCAAATTTGTACTAAAAATTAAAAAATCTATTTCCTATGGGAATGAAAAAAAATTTGCTTGGTACCAAAAAGGGAACAAAGTTTATTACAAGACAGAATTTCCCAACCTTGGCAACTTTAAGACATGTGGACTTTAGCTCCTAGGATTCTGGGATATGAAGTCTACACATCTTAAAGCTGCCAAGGTTGGGAAACCCTGGCAAAAGAGAAAGTTAACCATTGTGAACCAAGTTAAGGAGATCATCAGAAGTATCAGCATTCTAATTGATGTCAGTGTCCTCATCAATTATAGACGATAATGTCTGTATGATAACGCTCAAATTTCTCCACTTTGACAGGGAAAGATGATATTCTTCCTATTTTACTGACAGTTCAGTGGCTTGGGAGGAATGTGATGAGAACATTTAATCCAGGATTGCCAGAAAGAGTGAATTAAATGTGTGGCCTCTAGTTTGATCCGTAGGCACCAGTCTAAATCAACTTTTCTTACTGGAACACAATAGTATTGAGATCTCAGGAAGGTTTCCTAAACCAACAGTTTTACCTCAACACTCACAAGTATGTTTGCACTGTCCCACAAGGGTCTTTAACCACTAACATTCCCACAATCATCCTCACAACCTATGAAGCAATTAACATTCCCTCCAGGTGATCAACAGGAGACACAAAACCCAGTGTCCAGCCAGCACCTGCCTTCTATTCTTATAATGGTATCACTATAATGGTATCATTCTTATTTTCATAGAAAAACAATGAGTCCATTTGAAAATCAGGATGAAATGATACCATGACTTCAAGTCAGTGGAGAAAACACCCTGCTTCGAAATGCACATTGAAAGGGCATCAAGGCACTTCTGGGAGGTGGGAGAACTGAGGATCCTGGGTGGGGTGAGGTGAGGATTCCAGCCAATGGCAAATTGCCATCCTGATAGTGAGATGTTAATAACAAATCTACTTCTTGGAATTTCATCCTGGATTGACAAAAATGGGAAGCCAAAAATGGACACAGCATTTGTCTTTTCTTCTGATGTTTGCATTGTAGGCTACATTAATACTGAATTTTTTCTCCCCAAAACACAGTGGTTATAAGCTCATAAATATTGTATTATATTATTAGATTTATATCCCATCTTTATTCTGTACATCATATTTTATCTTATTATATCAAAAACATTTGATATAATCATACCATGCAGAAAAAAATACTGTATTGTTCTAGTTTCAAAATTTCTGTGTCCTGTGTTCTCCCTTAGGACAGGCCAAAGAGTGCTGTGTTTTCCAATGAGATGAAAGCAAAGATGAGTGTTGAGGAACAAATTGATCGCATGAAACGCCATCAAAGCAGTTCTATGAAGGAAAAGAGACGGAGCTTGCAACTTCCAGCCAATCAGCAGCAGACAGATAGCCCTCTCTCAAAAGCACCTGCATCTTATAAAGTGGTAATGCATTTATTTTATTCGTGAAAACTAATCTTCATCTTGTAAACCACTCAGACACACTTCAGTACAGTATTAGTATTTTCCTGAGATAAAATTGGTCAAGCGCTGTTTCATATAGATGTTTTGAAGGTACTGAAGTTAAGGGCTGAATGATAGACAGTCAAATACTCTTAAATTCTGTAGCAGTAATGTAGTCTTATTCTTACCAAGCTGAGTCTGCAGTGGTAAACCTATATATTAATTGTGCAGTCCAAACTAGAGTTTGAAATCCACATGATTGAATCAGTAAATTATGCTGCTCTAAAATTTTCTTTCTGACATCTGTTGTTCTTTCTATAAGGACATTTCTTAACGATCTAGTATAGAAGAATAGTCATGGGAGATTCAGCCAGTGCAGCTCCAAATTGATCAAGACTATCAAGTGATGTGCCAAACTAGAAATAATATTGACAATGTATGAAGACAAATATGTATGTTCCAGGATAATGTTTCAGTATCCAATCTGGGTTCATCACCGGGACTAGAGATTTAGTCTTCTGGGCTTTCATACTTGTCCTGGAGCCCACCCTCAATGAACTTCTCTCATATATTCTGGTGAGAGAGAAGTTCCCTAAAGATGGGCTCCAGCATGAGTCCAAAAGCTCAGAAAACTAAACCTCTGGCCCCAGATTGGATCCTGCAATATTGACAATGTCTTAAGTGGTCTATTTTGCTCTAGGTTCGCAGGCATCGCAGTATCCATGAAGTGGATATATCTGATCTGGAGGCAGCACTGCGTTCTGAAGATTCTGGCAAGATGTATGAAAGCCCCCGAGATGAGATTGCTCGCCTGCGCAAAATGGAGCTTGAGCCAGAACATTATGATGTGGACATCAGCAAGGAGGTGAAACACATTATTGATCTGAATCTCAGCACATCAAAAGTGCAAACTGCCTTTTCCCCAATAATGTACACTGAAATCTAGTTGCCTTCTCTGAAACTCAAAGGGTCTGTGTGGTTGGAGCAACATGAGTTGAGAATTTCACTACCCGTTAAGGATACAGGACAAGCTGAATGAAAAGTCATGCAGGTGCAGGAGAGAAACTGAGAATCTTGAACTTTATATTTATGAAAAGCTTGGAATGTTTGATTTTAATATAGCTTGGAGAGTTTCAGAGCACAGGTGTTTTGAGCATGATCTGAAGAATATATTCTTTAATGTATAAAATAGTGATTAGGGTTAGATAAAGGATATGCTAGACTAGACTAAACTTAGACGGTAGGGTAGGGTTCAGCAGGGTAGAATATACTACCAAGTGAAACATGTAATAAGGCATTTGTGGTCATTGCCACTCATTGGCTGTTTTTGTTACTCAGCTTTCCACTCCAGATAAAGTCCTCATCCCAGAAAGGTATATTGAGCTGGAACCTGACACCCCACTGAGCCCTGAGGAGATGAAGGAGAAACAAAAGAAAGTGGAAAGGATAAAGACACTGATTGCTAAATCCAGGTGCAGTGCTACTTCACACATTTTGACTTTCCCATGTGCCATTTGGTCATTGAGCATGGATTTTTATTTCATTTTTGAATATTTTACCCTTGATTTAGAAGCTATGCATTTGGTCTTGCTGCTTATTAATAGCACTTTGCAGTAGCCTCTTAATATTCAGAAGTTACTAATGTTATATACGTAGGTTTCATTCTGTTTTCTTCTTTCTCTTTGGTACCTTGTCTGTATATCTGGACTTGCTGGATAGATCTCATAGCAATTCCAATTTATAGTACATAGGAAAAATAACTTATCTAAATATTTATGGCCCCAAAATTCCCTCACTAGAAAATGAACAAAAATATTGATTTTGTAAAGGAAGAGTGATTATGTTTGCAGGCTCAAAGATAACTAAAAAATGGCAATTTGTGTTTTATAGAGAAATGTCAAAAATTAAATTAAATAAATAGGAATCTGTTTCCATCTTATTGTATTGACCTTGCAGCTTTGAGTGTTAGGCATGCCTTCTGGTTGAAATAACGTGTGCGTCCTCTCTTGCAGCATGCAGAATGTCATCCCCCTCAGCGAGGGAGAGATGGACGTGGTCCAGGACCCAGAAACTCAGTTACAGGAGCAGGAAAAGCGGATTGAGATCTCCTGCGCTTTAGCTACCGAAGCCTCCCGACGAGGCCGCATGCTGTCTGGTAAGATGAAATGCTCTGCAGCATTATCAAAAGATTAGCCAATTGGGCATTACAATCCCAACAGGAGCAAAGCTTTTGCTTCCATTGATGAAGTTGGCCAGATGTTGTTGCTTCAGCTTTTAAGTGTGGTGGCATTGGACATTACAGCAAAACAAACGAACTAGAGATCTAGCCTCCAAAATAAGTTGAATTTGACAGTCCAAATGGTGAAAATTAATCAAATACTTTAAATGGTTTGTTGTAATTCATTAAAATTATTTATAAAGGTTAGAAAGTTGTTGTAAGAAGCCAGCTGTACTGCTGTACTATTTTAATTTTCTTTTGAGGTCAATGAGTTAAGAGGCATTTTTCCATCATCGATTCCAATTTCCAGAAAATGTAAACCAATGAATTAGTCTGATTTGTTAAATGACACATAGAATCACAAGCCTTTGAGTGAATGGCAATGTCTTCTCTAATTTGTAACTCCAAAGAAAAGCAACTCCAACTACTTATACCTTCTTACTATAGATTAGCAGCAGGCAACTTTTCCATAGAGACCTGAACATTTAAGCCACTTTTTAAAGGTTAAAGGAATCATTGAAGGCATTGAATATGGAATATTGTGTTGTTTTATTTTATTTACAATGGGAGTAAGGATTTTCAAAAAGTAGAATCTTTGTGTTAAGCCACCCACAGCTAAATTTAAAAATTGCCACCAAATGTTGTTAATATTTTTGGACCTGTCAATGAATTGTCCTCTCTTCACCTCAGAAATAGTCTCCTGAAATGCATTTAGAGAAGCCCCAAAAGCATCAAGTGGTCCAAAATGTAGCAGATTTCAAGACATCCTGGAGCAGATTTATGAATGTAATATCTGTGCCACAATAACTTCTTTGGTTGCTGATTTACTTCCTGATTCTGGTTGAAGTGCTATTGACTTTAAAGCTCTAGATGGCTTGGCATCCAGTATCTGCAGAACCATTTTTACCATCAGATTTGACCCAACTGTGGGGAAGATATTCTGAAGGTTCCCACCCCACATGAAATGAGGAGTGTAAGAGTCATGAACATGCCTTCTCAATGGTTGCCTCCACACTTTGGACCACCTTGCCTCCTGAGATAAGCAATGCTTCACGAAGGCATCAAAGACCTTACTGTTCTGCAGAAAATTTGGCACTAATATTAAAAGGGCATTCTTATACTAGTTGGTTTAAATGACTGTCCATTTTGTGCTTACTTTTTTCAGAAACATCTTGAATCCTCAGGAAAAATTGAGTATACATTTTTAAAAGCCATGCTCATTATATAGGACAAAGCCACACAGTTTTCTTGCCCTGGTGTGAGGACTCTCACTAACCATTTCCAGAAGGCATGCACAAATATGTTAAAGCTCTATGAATAGCAGTACAGCACAGGGCCATTCCAGGTTTGTAGCAAGATACAATGTGGGGGCAGCAAGTTTTAGGGTAGCATAATTTCCTGATGGCTCAGATGGGAAGACAGCATGACAAAGAAGATATGGCAATAGCCAATTTTGCACATCATCCAAAGAAGGCATTTTTCAGACTCCACAAAGAACCAACTTTTGTGGAGCTCTGCCTCAGTTTTATTCCTATACCAGAAGGTAGCCCTTGTTAGAAGAGGCTAGAGAGCTATCCAACTTATCTGGAGTGCAGGTATTATAAACTGAAAGCTTGAGGAAGGTCAATAGCAGTTATGCCTGTCAGTCTTGAACATATGTATATTTGAAATATGTCCACTGCTGTGATAACCTTCTTGGCAAAAGGCATTTAGGACAGTTAACTACTCAAATATGCTCGTTCTGCATTCTTGCATTAAAACATTGCCCTGGTGGTATATTCTACCTTCTACAGTTTACTGGAAAGATATTTCTTCTTGAAATATTTCTCACTACTACTGCACATCACTGCTGAAGAAGCTGTTGTATAATGACTATAGTTGCCTTATAATTAGACTTTTGCCAAAACATAAAATTCTTCTTATTCAAATTGTCCTTTGAATCTGTAATTAAATTGCTACACATTTTTGGGGTGATTCCAAAAATATGTTACTTTCCATGAATATTAATACAATACAATTTAATAAATTGGCATTGACAGAAATTAATTTAGTCTGCATCATATGACTGGGTATGATCTATAGCAGCCCTCTGGGAAATGGTTGGGGTTCTGAGCACTGTTGTCCCAACACACAACATATTTGGAGGGAACCAAGCTGAAAAGGCTGGTCTTGTTGCCTGTATTTATACAGACCAATTATTGTTAAGTTCGATCTCTGTTTATTCTGTGGATAGGAATGGTGGCCTAGAATCTCACTTAGAATTTTGGGAGAGAACTTGGAACCTCAGAGTGAATGGGACTGACATCATGTGGGATTTGGGATATTATTTTTATAAGTTAGTTTTGTAATGTTTCTCACTACAAAATTGTGGGAAATGAGGCCTCCTGTTTTAGCAATTATGGTCAAAGGGCTATGCACCTGGAATTTGGGACTGCACACAGCCCAGCTTGACTCCATAGTCTAACCTGAGCAATACTCATGGGATCTATTTGTAGGTAATGTAGTACAGCCCTTTTCTATTGCTGTGTGATTTTTTAAAAATTGTGTTTCCTTTTCTTTCTCTTTTAACCCATGTTTGCTCAATGGATTGTGTTTCTTTGCCTTTGTTTTCTCCCCTTCCTCCCCCGCTGTCTGAAGCACCGTATATTATTCAGGCTCTATCTCCATTTCTTGTTTTCAGCTCAATGTGCTACCCCGAGCCCTCCCACTTCCCCCACTTCCCTGACTCCACCGATCAAGTCCCTCTCGTCTGACTCATCCCAGGGCACCGACAGTCATTTTATGCGTGTCTGAAACTTAAAGTAAGCACTTTTTGTATTATACTTCCATCTCATTCATGTGTATCTGTGAAGAAAAGAAGTCTTAGGCTTCTTTTTCAATAGAGTTTCATCTTTTCACTAAACCCACCCATCCACCAATATCCATTAAGCTAACCCTTTCTTTTTTGCCACATAAGTCCAGTCTCCTCCTATGGAATGTTTCAAAAAACTTATCAGTGAATCAAGTTGCCACATCCTTTTCTGGATTTACTAGGACAAAGTAGCCTAATTTCATCATTTGTTTCACTTACAACAATTTAGAGCAACATTACAGCAAGTCTTCTAAACTGAACATAGTGAACTTAGCGCAGGGGTCTTCAAACTTGACAGCTTTAAGACTTGTGGACTTCAACTCCCAGAATTCCTCCTCCAGTCATGTTAGCTCAGGAATTCTGGGAGTTGAAGTCCACAAGTCTTAAACTTGCCAAGTTTAAAGACCCTTGATTAGAGGATATTAGTTGTTGCCAAGAAGCCCTGGTTCACAATTCATTTCAGTCTTAAGATCTCTAGTTCATTGGTATTTTTCTTTGATTTTCTTAAAACCAAAAGTTAGTTTGGGGCAGTGGTGGGATTCAAATTGTTTTACCACCGGTTCAGTTGACGTGGCTTGGTGGGCGTGCTTTGCCTAATGCCAGCGCACAGCTTTCCCCACACCAGCTGAGACCTGCAGCGCCAATCAGCTGAGAGGATAAAGAGAAAAGCGCAGGGGCAGGTGATCCTCTCAGCTGATCATCAGAGGCTTTTTTTTACTACCAGATCGGGTGAACCGGTCCAAACCAGTAGCATACTACCACTGGTTTGGGGATAATGAATTTAAGCAGAATAGTCAGTGATTCAGATTTACCTGGGGGGAAAAAGGAAAATGGAATTGGGGTGTTGGGGTGAGGAGTTACTTTATGAACTAACTGAAAACAAGTAAGACATTCCCCTCTTTTTATTCGCAGCCTTGTTAGATTCTTGAGGGTAAAAGTTAGTTGAAAGATGCTCATAATGACATTATATCTAATGGAGATGTGCATGCTTCAAAAACAATGAAGAGATCCTTCAGTTCATGTAAAAGCACAAACACAGCACTTCTATGAAGTAGCAGATCTTTTTCAGGCTTCACTGGCTGTACTAAACCTGTTAAAATAGCTTCATCTTTAACATGATTCTCAAAGCATCCGCCTCAGTTTTCAGATGCATGCAGAAGCTTAAAGAAAGGCAGGCAACTTTAAGGAGATGCTGGAAACAGAATCTATTTACAAAGATAATTAAAAATAGTATATCTAATCTGAAAAAAAGTACATTCAAAGGGGAATCTAGAGGAAGGAAAGTGTCCAATATTAATCTTCTCAGAAAAATATGCCCATTTGTAAACATCTGTCATCAAGTTCAAATTAAAGCTAGCTTCCATTCAAACAAATCTTCTTTTTACATTCCATGGATTCTCCAATTAAATATGCTACTTATGAGCATTCAAAATAATGTTGCAGTATTTTTCTGATCATGCATTAGATATAATATGACCAAAGTATCTTATAATAATCAATTTTTAGAATTCCAGTTTTGCCATCCTAGCTGTCAAATACCATTTTCAGTTAAGAGACCTTCCTATGACTGCTCTGAAACTTTGCCTTTGGGACATGTTGTGAAAAGGCAAAAAATGGTGCAAGAAGCAGCAGGAATTTATCCAGACGTCCCTTATATATTTGGTTCTGGATCCAACATTTGGGGAAAGTGATAATCAAAAGCATTCTTATTTAGTCTTTGAGCCACGGTAGCACAGTGGTTAAGAGTGCAGTGCTGCAGGCTACTTCTGCTGACTGCCAGCTGACTGCAATTTGGCAGTTTAAATCTCTCCAGGCTCAAGGTTGACTCAGCTTCCATCCTTCTGAGGTGGGAAAATGAGGACCCAGATTGTTGGGGGCAGTGTGCTGACTCTGTAAACCACTTAGAGAGGGCTGTAAAGTTATGTAAAGCGGTATATAAGTCTAAGTGCTATTGCTATTGCTAGTCAAATCTGGTATCTGCCATCTTGTTATGACTTTTCTATTACTTTCAAAATGTGCATGTATATATCAGCACACATATGCCAAACTGCCATATTTTGGACAATATAGCTACAAAAAATAAGCTGTTTTTGTTAGTTAATCTACTCTGTTCCTGACAATTATTTCTGTTTTTAAATAATTGAAAGAAACAATTGAAAGATGGGGTTAATGATTTATTTTTGATGCCCCAAGTCCAAAATTTAAGCTGTGACTTTATGCATGTATAGCTATCCTGACCGCCATAAAAGGGATATTTCAAGTAACAGTTCGCAAGATAGCACTGTCAGTCCAGCTGTCTTCTATGATTGGTGATATGGAAGATTGTCCAAAAATTATTTTAGTATTTGGTTTCTATGTTTGTAAAGACCTTGGGAATTGATTTGGGATGAAAATGCTGGAATGTTGCTACATCCAAAATAGGCTTTCCTATTCCTATCTAGTTCTACTTAAGAGATAACAAGAGTTTAATTTCCAGCCTTTTTCTCAAAGGCCAATAAACATTTCCATTGTGGTCAGAACAGTAAGAATAAAACACTGCTCTAGTGATCCTTCTCTGTCACAAAACTTTAAACAGAGATATAATCAATGGAAATGAGTAAACTGAGATAGGCTTTGGAAGTTAGGTTTCTGCCTTGACATTTTCCACCATTTTTATTTTTAAAGGGTCAAGGAGAGTAAGAGTATCCTCAGCAGCCACTGAGGAATTCACATAATTCATTGGGAAAAAATGTGGTCCCCATTCTTCTTTCCACCAGTTTTTCCAAGAGAAAGAAACATGCTTGTTTACCAACTTTAGCATTTATCTACAGAGGTGGTCCCATGCTTTGTTCAGGCCTCTGGGCCATTAAAAGTATTATTCTCCTGTCTCCACTTAAATGCTAGACTTCTGACTTCTGGTGGTTAATGATGGCTGATTTGGGAGTGAGACTGGCAGCGCAAGAGATATAACCAGCAGTGGTGGCCGCACTTCCTTCAAATGCTGCCTTATTCCTTCTGTGCTGTGCTATGGTTGTATTGGGGCCCCATACTCAAGCTACCAATCTGGGCTGACAAAGCTGAATGACCATTCAATATGTCAGCAAATTCCTTACCTATGCGTTTCTTAGCTATATTTATACTGCTGCCTTAATCTCTTCTCTTCCTCCTCTGTTCTCTCCAGCACAAGCCCTGGCTGCTGTGAATGCTGTGAAGTTCCATGGAGCCACATTTTAACACATGAATTTGCCCTGTCAACTCTACTGCTTAATAATGTATAGAACCATTCCTATGATTTGCCAACTATCTCCTGCAGTTGAGCTGCAGAAACATGCAGGAAGGAAAGCTGCCTCTGAAGAGAATGAGGGTGCTTTGTCTTTGCTCTGGTTCTCCTCCCACTGCTGCCAAAGCCTGTACCAAAACCTTTCAGATGCCTGGTCTATTAAAAGCAATTAAAGAAGCAGCATCCAGAAGAAGTTTCATTCTACAAGATGGCTTCTTCATCCCTGAAGGAGGTCTAAAGACAAAGAACTGGTGGCTAAAGATCAGCAGAAGCATCAAATAATTTGAACTGAAAAAGGAAAGCTGATGATAGCAGGGGAATGTACAATTTCCTATCCTTAGGTAGCCATTTCCTAAACGTCTAACCTCCTTTATCACTTATTTTTATTTTACTTTTTTTTCTTACATTGAGGGAAGAGAAATGTATAAAGAATAGATTGTCATGGCAGCCAGAGACTTTATAACCACTTTACTGAATTGAACGACATATTTTTCTTCCTCACACTTTGTTCCCATCTGCCAATCTGATTGGCTCTAGAAACTTTAATCTATGGAACTAAACAACCCATGCATGGTCATGCTGCTTATACTTATATCTACCCACTCACAGGAAGAGAAAGGAGGGGGCATCATTAAACTTTGTGGATATGGCAGATGAAGAAAACAGAAGGGTGTCGGTGTGGAGGGGGAAAAAAAAACAAGCAGCTTTGGAATCTGCTAATTCTTGGGAATCTTTCAATGGCTGTGATATGCTGAAGAATCCCCTCCCCCTCACTTTTCCTAGGTTTACAAGGAAGATGGAATAGGAAGTATGTGCAATGTACGTGGACATGTAACAGAAGTGTGGATGAAAGATACAAAGGGGAAGGATGGCTACAAAAAGAGTTCAGTTTGATGGGATAAACCACCTGGTGTGTTTTAAGTTTACTGTGACTCAGAAGTGGGACTGGTAGGTGACATATTTATTCTCATACCAGAACCTATTCAAAATGTACCACTCAACTCTTGGTTCTCCAGGATATAGGTTGGAGCCAGAAAGAAAACACAATGCTGTGAAGATCTCAGCATAAAGAAACTAATGAAATAGTAAATCTGCAAGAGAAATGGAAATGTGTCTGAACTTGACTAAAGCAAGCTATGAGTTGATTCCATAGTATGTGTAAATGAGTTCTCTCCTATTTATCATTGGGAGGAGAAAGTGAGGCTTCTTCAATTTCTGCCATTTGTAGCATTTCTCTCAACTTTAGAATAATAGAGCAACGTTTGCTTTGAAGTAGAATTCTCTCACTTTCTCACACAAAGTGCTTTTCATCCATCTCTATCCAAGCGAAGCTGTAATAACAATTGGCTGATGATCTTTTAGAGGAGCTGCTAAGCTCCCACATCAAAAGTGCAAGTCCTTTCCTGTATTTGCTTCTATCAGCATCTGAAAGGTGGCTGCTTCCCCAAATGAGTTGTCTTTTTTTCCCCCCTAAATAAATAGTGAAAATAACTCACAAGGACAGAGGAGTACAAAAAAAGGACTTGGAAAATTTACTCTTGTCAAGTACAGAAAGTACCAAGGTGTCCTAACTTATATTATGCTAGATCAAAGATCTAACTGGACCTTTTCCACACTGCAGTTGTACGTTCAAAGGTTTATACATGGTGAATCCTGAACTGAATACCATTTGAAGCTATGATGACCTTACCTCTTTAGAAATAATCAGGCTCTGCAGGACAGGACTTTTCACCCAATGTAGTGCTTTTGAAAACAATCTATTTCATTAATAGATGGATCAAAATATAATTGGATGATCCTGTGGCCCATAGATTTATTTCAAAGGCTACCAAAATTGATTGCGCCCAGTATAAAACCAAGTAGAATCGATTTTATGGAAGCGAATAAAATTATTCTAGTTATAGATCAGAATACAAAAAAAAAGTGCTAGCTTTTTAATAATCCTGACCTACATTTTCAGTGAGTTCACTGCCATGTTTTCAAAAATTCTGCATTTCTTCCCCCACCCCTAATATTTTGCTTCTTTACAAGTACAGATAGTCCTCAGTTGAGCCCAAAATTACTATTGCTCAGTGAGACATTTGTGAAGTGAGTTTTGCCCTGTTTTACAACCTTTCTGGCCACAGTTGTTGCAACTCTTAAGTTGGCAACATGGTTGTTAGGTGAATCTGGTTTCCCCATTGATTTTGCTTGTCAGAAGTTCGTAGAAGAGGATCACATGACCCTGAGACACTGCAACTGTCATAAATATGAGTCTGTTACCAAGTGTCTGAATTTGGATCACATTGGGGATACTGCAATGGCTGTAAGGGTGAAAAATGGTCCTAAGTCATTTTTTTCAGTGATGTTGTAACTTTGAATGGTCACTAAATGAACTGTTGTAAGTCGAGGATTACCTGTACTCAAAGGAGGATATACTAGTAACAGGTGGCACCTCAGACTATGGTATGATTTGAATCCTAGGTGACAATTTAGCTCTGCTGAAATTATCATATATTTTTCCATGTAAACATGTCCATAAACATATTGATCAGTTTTAATCCAAAGATTTATCAAAACTGGGAATTTATCAATTCTATTTCTGTATTATTGGAAGGAATAACACTGCTTCAGGGTCTAATATATGCAACTCTTAAAGCAGACATTAAATGCAAATTTAGTTGTGGAACATAAACCCTCTACCCCCCTACTACTCATTTTCTTCCATAATTCAGATTATTTTAATTAAATCAGGATTCTTTACAATGATGCATGAAAGACTAATTTGGACCCCAGCTGAAACAGAAAATGCTAGCTTTGAGTAGCACTGTTCCTTATGTTCAAACTTCTTCAAAATAGACTTGAAAATTCTCACCATTTTCCCAGGCTATCAAGAAGTCTAATTTTTTTCTGGCTTTTTAGGAATAAGTTTAATATCCAGGTATCTAGTTTAATCAATTGATGACATACAGTATCACTACACATAACTCAAATTCAAGTTTAAGTAGGTATGAAATGTGATTTGCCTTGATTTTTTGTACAGCGAAATGAATGAATGCTGTAATTTAAAGAGCAAAACGTTTGCAGAGGGGAAAGCATCTCCACAGCATATTCTTCTCCCTTGACACCACTTTTTGCACCAGGGAAGTGATGCCAGGGAGAAATCATTTAGGAAGAGTGAACTAGAATGGAGAGAATTCAGTACTTATAATATGTACTGCAAACTCTTCCCAGCATATAAACTCCCACATTTCAAAAGTTAGAGCTGTCCTCTTCAACTTCCCAAGAAAAGACAACGGCAAACCACTTCTGTTGTCAAGAAGGCTGCAGGTGCGCATAGTCGCCAGAATTTAAAGTTGGGGATATCAGTGTGATCTCAAGAGAATAGAGTCCTGTTTACAAAATGAAAAGAGCTAACTGCAATATTACCAAATGATTCTTTGTCACCCCTGTTTGTGGTAAGGATATAGTTCTGAAGTAATCGTGCATTGGTGGAATTTGGCTGGCTCAGCAAAGTCTCTTAGCAGCCAAGGAGCATCTTCTTTGATGACTTTCTGGTCCATTGTAGCCCATGTAGGTTAGACTGAAAAAACACGGAGAGACCTGGCATAACAGTCCATTAAGGGGAATATTTCTCAGGCCCACACATAGTAGAAGACTTAAGTTTCAAATTTTACCTATGCTTTTGGGGGACTGAATCCCACTGAAATAGATGTAGCTTATTTCTGAGTAGATCCACAAAGCTGTGCATCTCTTAGGCTTTAATCCTCAATGTGCTCATAGTAAGTTCTTTCTTTCCAGTTCTTTACATACTGGAGCTTCTAAGCATCCATATATGATTATTCTGTTAAAATGAATGTTCAGCATATAGAAAGTTAAACCCCACAGTATCTCTGGGAGAGTTCTGATATTGTTATTTTTAAGAATTTGTCTAAGAATCTGTCTCAATGTGTATTAAAAGGAATTAATGTCTCAGCACTTAAAATCATCCTTCTGATCTAAGAGCTTAAGTGATCAATGTTTCCCATCTCTTGCACTGTGGAATCTAGCTTTATCGGGTCCTCTGTCCTATTGCTTGCCGCAAAAGACGCACCGTCTTGGGTATGTCTAAGAGTTCAGCTTCATCTATATTTTCAAGAGAAACTTTCCATCTCCCTGTCCAATAAAGATGACATCTCCTTTTTATTATTTAAAATGAACCTGTTGGCAATACGTAGATCACTCCAGAGAACCAGAGTTTTAGACCCTTCTCCTTTAGCAATACTGTTGACATTCCACGGTGATGAAGATGATGATGAAAGTATTTCATTCTGCTCTTGCAGAAGCTTCTGTTAGCTCATAAAAATGTTATCCCTTCATGATCCTCTACATGCCTTAATATGTGTTTTTAAAAATTATACCGTGATATATATGTGTGTGTGTACATTTATATATATTTTATATATAGATATATATATATACATATATAATATATGGGCTTTCTTCCTCTTCTCCCTATTCTTATTTCGTTTGGACTAACTTTCTCTGTGTACAGGGCTGCTGAAGCCTGCTTTGCCACTGAGTTTCTGAAATACAGACGCTGGGATGGTATATCAAAATAATTAAAGAAAGAAATTTTAAAAGGCATATTTAAATAAATATATATTTTTCTGCTTTTTATTAAAAGCAAATTTATTTAAAATGAATGGAAGCTGTCTGTAAGGGAGTGGTGCATTTATTTCCTTGTTACTAGGTAAGCTCATGTTTTCTACACCAGGGCTTAAGTCTCAGTCGATGCAACTTGGCAATAGCTTATTTGGAACTAGCAAAGCTGAGTTCCCTTAACCCTGGTGAAGTTCTGGCTTGAAAGAGATGTTGTCAGATGAATTATAGAACTGTAGCATATCAGGGACCGCAAAGATTGTCTCGCTGGTATACAGCTATCCCACTGGGATCCTTTGCAATAGAGGTGGCTTTGAAATGTTGATGCCACTTGTTTTTTACCTCCCTTTTGTTCAAATTTGTTCATTTTGTGTGATATTTTCCTCTCTTCAATCACAGTTGCTCTCTGAGCTGCTTTATTTACCTCTGCAATGCCCAGCCTAGTGGGAGAAAGGTACGTTTTTCAGTTGGTACATGTATTTCCTTGCTGTGATTTGACCCATACCAAATGCCAGTAGCTTAGTAGAGAGATGAAGTAAGAGCTGAGGAAAGGCCTTAGTTAGCCTATGTGAAGGATTATCTATTTAGATTTGGCCCTCTCTCAATTTAGAGAGTGGCTCCTTATTCTACCTCTTTTGAAGACTCAGAGGTAGTGGTCCTACTTGTGCAGGTGCTTGATAAGCATGGCAACCATCTTGAAAGATAATTACTCCACCAATATTTTAGGGTACAGAGGGCAATGTAAAGATGGTGTTACATTTTGGAGTCTCAGCTTCTGTTAAGAAAGTGCAAATCCCTTCTCAAATCACCTTTTTCTCTTTCCTCTTTCCCTCTGGCCCTCTTTTTTTTGCCATTGTGGAAAGCATTACAATGATATAAATAACTTCAAAAACATTATCTCACCCTTTCCAAGCCCTCTGTTCAATTCATAGCAAGGTAGGATTGTACCTGATTATTGCCAATGTCACTTTAAGCATTCTGAGGCTTCTAATCAGTATTTCTCAACCTTGGCAACTTTGTGTGAACTTCAACTTTCAGAATTTCCCAGCCAGCAGAGCCGGCGTTTCCATAACTGACTAGAGAATTCTGGGAGTTGAAGTTCACGTGTCTTTCAGCTGGCAGGGTTGAGAAATGCTGCTCTAAGTTCTCGGCAGAGCACATTTAGGGTCACAGTTTTGCAGTATTGTAGAACCCTGTTTTTAAAATGTTTTATTTTTTGTGTACGTGTGTGTGTGTTCCTTTCTAATAAAATTTTCATATACCAGCAGCACCTGCAACTAACAAATACTGCATTATTTATGCACATTATTTGGAGAGAAAAAAAAACTAGTGTTAGATGTTAAAATTATCAAAGAAGCAATGTGAAGTTAATGTCTTTCTTTTTTTCCCTTTCTTTTTGTATAAAAGTGACCTTAGATTATGACAATTAGCTGTTCTGTGATTGAAAATAATATATTGGTGACTTGGGGATTCTTCACACCAGACCAAGGGATAATCTTTCCATAATTAAACCCACAGTGGCTTACTTAATATTCTTTCCTGCAACATTTGTTCTAGATGTAGTTACTTTAAAAGATCCTCCCTCTCAAAAAACAAATACAATATGCGCAAGAAAAACAAACAAAAATAAATGCATTTGTACCTTGCAAGTTTGTATAAAGCAAATAAAAAAAATGGATGGTTTATAACTAGACTGTGTGTGCTTATTTTTTTGTAAGTGTTAAGACCTAAGAAAAGGAGGGATAGAAAGGTATACTATATATAGTTGTCCTCAGAGTGTACTGTTCTCTATATTTCTATATATTTCAGCTAAATATGTATAGTTACATTTATTTACTATTGAATTACTTTTCACTCACTGCAATTGAAGGATTCTGGAGGCTTACATCTTCATGGCACAGTAATATGATGATAAAGAATAAACTGCCCCCCCCCCCAATAAACCACCAATAAAGTCATAAAATGAACAAGAAAGAATATTGTTATATCCAGCGACAGTCTTCACTCTGGTCCGCTGCTTAAGCGGGAACCAGAGCCATCGCTGATTGGCTGAGCCCTCTTGACAGCTCGCTATAAAAACCTGTTAGCCGGCTGCCGAGTTAGCGGCCGTACGCCCGGCTGGGTTACATTGTGGCCAATAAAGCCTGTTAACCTTTTCCGCCAGCCTCTGCCTCTCCTTCCTTGCACGCCAAACTTAAAACTGGCGACGAGGGTGGGATGTTAGTGAAGTGAGGCATTTTCTGAGGCAACAAAGAGAACTGAAGAGTCACAGAGCTGAAGCACTAATAAGGTTAACAAGGCTGCCACTAAGCTAACCCCAGATGGCGGTAGCACCTCCCAACTTCCCACCGTTCCACCTGGCTTCAGAAACATGGACATCATATATCAATCGTTTCGGGTGCGTGATGGACACCGCCA